GGAATAACAGGCTCCTCATTGAAAAAAAAAGGACAATTGTCCTCAGATTAGATTCTACCAGAGTTAAAGTTCCGTCTGCCATGCCCTGCCCTGACATTCAGAGAGAAAAGCCCCCGTATGGGGTCTGTCCCGCCTCTTACACACCCAGACCTTTCCTCCGTGAAGGTCACAAGGTTCCCGTCTGTCTCATAAAGATTGAACTATTGTTAGTCAGTGAAGTGGCAAGAAAAGAAACCACACAAACTATAACAAAAACAGGAAATGAGTCACACTCCGATGAATGTCCACAAAATATATGACAAATCTGATAAATCTGTCTTTGGTAGAAGTCGGCATTACAGGATGTCTGCATATCAGACAGTGGTTCAGGAACTTAGATGTATCTTTTCAGTAACCTATCTAGGGAGTAGAATATAAAAGAAAATACTAAGTAAATCAGATAAGACAACATTTCTGAGCTGTTATTTTTTAGACTTGACAAGTAATCCTGCTGATTTTCTGTAGTTATCTTAAATCAAACCTTTAATTTAAACACAGTAATGTTTGCAGAAAGTATTAGAGCTTTAGGGTCTGTAAATGTCATTTTTACAAGTACACTAGTAAAACTTATTAAGCAGGAGCTGCCAAATACTCAAGCATAACACTTTATAATAAGTTTATTATTAAGCTAAAGTAAACAAAAATTACCAAAAGTACCAAGAAAAACCCAAACATATCAGTCAGCTGAATAATGATTACACATTGTTAATAGTAAATGAAGTATTAAAAAGATTTGGATTGATTCAATATGTCCTTAGCTCGGGTATCGTAGCAACTGAGGTTCAGTTCAGATTTTGGAATGTTGTGTCAACATCCCTTAAGAATCAATCTCCTGCTACAAGGAAACACCTGTCACTGAAAGGTGAAATGATTAACTGGGACACGTTCAATCTTTCCACTTGGAAAACACCCTGCACTCCCTGTATCCTAATCCCGAAGCAAAAGAAAATCAATGTTTTACTGGTTCTGAATCAGTTCGATCACATTACCGTCAAAATCACTCAGACCAAGAAGATAAACCACGTTTGTGTTTAATGTTCAGTGAATTGGCAGCTACTTAAAGAGTTTAGCACTTTCTTTACCTCTCCTTATGGAGTGTTGCATTATTACTGTGCATAGCTTTAAGCTACGATAGATTTACAGCCTTCTCTGCAGACGCTTCAAGCTTGGCCATGCCCTACAGATATGTTTTTTCGTACCTGGCTGCTCTTTAATCAGAGTTGGGCCCAGACACAGCATCGACGCAGGCACAGGCCGAGCGATTACTGAGGATTTAAAGCTCGGAGTTTAGGAGCTGATCACTTTCTCTCCATGAGTGTTCAGGCCGTAAAGTGTATGAGATGAAAGCAGGCAGCGGAGAGAGAATGGGATGAAAAGGATGATCTCAGATTATGGGGCAAAAGGTGAGAAAATGAGTGAAGACAGATGAGAGGAAGTGGAATAGATTAGGAGGAGGACAAACTAAAGCCAGAGAAGGGGCTGATTAGGATTTGATGAGCTGTCCGGCCTCAGGGAGGATCTCTGTAGACCCACAACAGGGCCATTAGGACCCATCTGCTAGACTGTAGTCTGCATGACTGTTCCTACTTAATGATCCGACACATCAAATAGACAAACGGAGAGCTGTGAAGCGGCGGTAAAGACTCAATGCAGATTAAAGACTCATCCAATGACATCATTTAAATCGATGAAAACAAATCAGAGTGTTCCTTAAAGCTCACGAGGAAGAGTTTGTCCGTGCTAATTGTTTGATTACGACAGGGAAGCCAAATGGTCGGTAGGCATCTGGTGGTCAGCAGAATCAGTGTTTCATCAGCTGTTTTTGCCTTTAAAGCACATGCACACACACACACGGGGGGGAAGAGGGGGAGGTGTGAGGGAGATATCCTATCAGCTGTCTCTGTAGTTGTGCTGAGTGAAGAGCAACAGACTGTGTTCCGATGTTGTCGTTTAAAAATGCATTATACTTTAAATTATTAATTTCCAATCTATGGAGTTTGACATAGAATGTGTGGCTCATTCACTGACTGTGTACAACAGATGACCAACAGGGGGCCCGAGAGTGACAGCTGTCACCGCAACTCTTTGGATTTTATTGTCAATATTTCTCCTAATGTGATGAACTAGAGTTTCCTGAATCTCAACTCTAGTGGTGAGTTCAGATCAGGAAAAAAAGACGAGCTAAACTCAAGATTGGAAAGTTTTGGTTTTGGATTGCAGACATTTTGGTCTACATGCCTGGCACTGCTAGTGGTAAATGGCAAAAAAAATGTGCAGTGACCAGCATTTTACTGTAGGTTTCCATCAGAAGTAGAAAAACACAATACTGTAAAAGTGCAGAATGACACTCACTGAGTATCCCATAATTCCACTATTCCATCCACTTATTGTTGCTCTGCTATACAGTCAATACACATGTTTTTTTATACACATAGTTGGAATAGGTTATTTGCATCTGACCAGTCTCACTGATTGATCCATCCATCAATTTATCAATCTATCCATCTATTCAAAACTTCAACCTACTACTCATTTTCTATCCATTTGTCTGCAGTGTTTTCTTGTCTCTGTTCGTTTTATGCATCAACATACAGAGCTGTGGAAAACTGGGGTAACATTCCTTCTCCATGTGCTCACACTTGGACGGTGAGGCTGATTCTGATTCTAATTACTGTCATTGAGGGGCAAAAATCCTACAAAATATTCTCCCATACTGACACAAAATTCAACCATAGTACTTGGTAATAACTTAACTGCATTTGATTTATTTACTTTTGATCCTAGTACCATTCCTAGATGGTCCTGAAACGGTTACCATGTGATGTGCAGCAGCAGCTCCCACATCCATTGTCCGTCTATTGTCAGACCTGCTCCTCCACTTGCGTCAGCACGCAGCCATAACCACCGCACTGAAAGGACTCTTCCTGCAACGCTGCCCGGCTCCTTAGGTCAGAGGTCACTTGTGGCCTCCGGTTTCCTTGACAACAGCCAGGCAGTCCCCAAGACTGAGGTGGTCTGCCTCCCCCTCCTCACCTTCACCCTCCACTCACTCCAACACACTGAATCAGCTTTTGTCCCCAAACTCCTGTGTACCAAAGCGGAGCCTGGAGTCTCAGCGTCAACCCAAACATTTACAGCCAAGCTGGCAAAGCACTTGAACACTACAACAAATTACAGTGAGACCACCGTAGATGCAGAGTGACACGGTGAAAA